AAAATGCCTGGATCGTTATCTGGCTGACTGCTTGCTCTTTGACTGTGCTTCTCAGTCTTTTTTTGGGAAGTTGAATTTTTGAACCCAAGCATAAAGCTTTACATTTGTTGATTTGTCCCTATCAGATTTCATTTGATCAGATTCAGCCCAGTTGTCTGGCCCGTCAAGAGATCTTTTTGAATCCTGGTGCCATGGTCCTGTGTTAGGGATCCTCCCCACTTTGTCTAACCTGCATATTTGATGAGCATGTCATTGTTGCCTAAATCCATGTCATTGATATAAAATGTCCAACAGCTCAGGCCAGCGCTCTCCCTCGGGCACTCCCTTGGGGATCTCCTTCAAGGCTGACATTGAGCTATTAAAGCATTCCGCCTGGCCTCTCTGTTCTGTTTGTGAGCCCCCTAAAAGCATCCCCAGTGTCGGTGACAAGCTGGATGGCAGTGGGGGGTGGTGCTTGTGAAGTGAAAGGTGACCCCTCAAAGGACTGCTGCTGTCAGCCCCTGAGGCCCCTCAGCAGTCCCACATGCCCCTTTCAGAAGCTTCACCAAAGTTGGCACCCCTAACTTCCTCCGGTTGGTGGAAGATGTGACCTTTCCGCACACTTTAAGGTTGACAAAGCACGTTCTCTCATTTAATACACACCAGTCCCCTGAGGTCATGCTATCTTCTTTGACTAGGGAGCAGCTTGAGGTTGAGGGAGGGGTTTGAATCCTCCCAAGTCCAGCCTTCTCGACCTGCATTTGATTCACAGCTCCGAATTCCAAAGCCCAAAGCAGCCAGAGAGGTTTGGGAGCCCAGCCCACTCGTAGGCCCCAGACATCCTCTTTCCAGGTACCATGAGGCCAGTGGGGAGACTCCTGCTCTCTCGCCGCCCGTGCTTGTGTTCTGAGGCTTTTCTTTTTAATCTGACCTTGCATGTTCCATGAGTGATTGTTGACTGGGTTGTTCTTCATTGCAGGCCTGGTTAAAGGTCAAGTGTGTACAGGGAATCTTCATTGGCTCTGCGGCTTTGGTCAGGTCACTCTTTCTGGGCCTCAGTTTCCTCATCCGCAATAGGAGAGAATTGACCCAGATTAGACATTGTATATTGAGAGCTGGAAGGAATCTCAGAGGCTGTCTGTTCCAGACCCCTTATTTTACAGATGAGGAAACTGAGGCCCAGGGAAGTTGGGTGACTTACCTGTATCACAGGTGGTAAGTTTCAGGGGTGAGATTTGAACCCAGGCTCTTTTATTCTGGAGCCTGGGCTCTTTCCACCATACTGCACTGCCGCACAATGCTTAAGGTCCCCTCTGGCTCCAGTCAATCCGTTAGTAATCACTTATTAAGTGTCTGCTGTAGGCCAGGCACCGTGCTAAGAACTGGCTGTACAAATACTGTAAGTCAGGCAGTCCCTCAAGGAGCTTCCACTCTAATGGGGGGAAGATGTAGCACATGAGAGAAATGGACAAACGTGGGTTTGGAGGGGACCTGGCCCTGGGGCAGAGGGTCTGAGGGCAGAGGACACCGGTGACAGAGGAGGCTCTGGCTCCTAGGAGCATATCTGTGATTGAATCGGCACCACTTGGTCAGTCAAGTGGAAAGCTTTCTGGGCACAGCATCACAGGGGCCCGGCTCTGTACCTGTCCTGGCTCTGTGATGGGTCCAGACGCACGGCCCACGAGGCCTCTGAGGCAGATTGAGGGCGTTGGGCTAGGCCGTCTTGAGGTCCCTGCCAGCACTGATCATCTGTGAGTCTAAGCAAAGCCTCCAGAATGTCAGCCCAGTTTAGGGTTTCTCTTTTTTTCGTATTTGAGGTACACTAAGTTATCTGTGGGCAGTTATGGGAATTGTTGTTTCTTTGAGAAAGTACATTCTGATTTCGAAACAACCCGCCACCAAGCAGTTTGGGAACAGCACACGTTTGTGTGCAAGATAGGGACTTCCTGTTGCCAGTGATGGAGGGACGGCCTTGTCCAGTGGCCTCCCCAGACTGCTCTGGGGCAGTTGTTTTTCCCAGTGCCTGGCACAGAGCAGGCACTTCATAAATGCCCTGTTGGCGTTTCCTGTGCTTCTGTGCAGGGGAGCATGCCTGGTTCTGGTTAAACTAAAATCGGACCAGTTGGTTTGAGTTTCTGCATTCTGGATAGAATGGTGGAGACAGGGGGATGTCCACAACTCATCTTTGGGTGCAGAGCACAGAGTTGCCAGAAACAGGAAGAACACGGAGGCCATGTGATTTGGGAATGAATCGTGGCTTTTTGGACCAGTAACTGCATATGCCGAAGGAGTGGCACAGCTGGGTTAAGTCAAGGCTTGCCTGTGATGCTGGTGGGTCACTGCCCACCACCTTCTAGTCATTTTCTAACATTAAAAACATGTGTCTCCACCCACACCGCTTGCTCTGTAAAGCCTTTGACAACTCCTCTCCTCACAGTTCCATAATCAGTCAACCAGAAGACGTTTATCACGTATTTGTTACGTGCCAGATAACTTTCTAGAGGTGAGAGACAGAAAAACGTATACAGGATATAAAGATATTAAAACAGCCCTGCCCTCAAGGGGCTTCCATTCAAATGAGGAAGAGGACATGTGTGCATAGAGTGCATACAGACCCAAGTAAACCTCAGATGGGAAGGCGCTAGATTCTGGGGGGACCAGGAAAGGCCTCCTGTACCACCAGGCCCCTGAGCTCCTCTTACTTCTCTGTTCTCAATTCCTAACTGTCTGTGTCTATCTGTTTCAGTCCCGTAGTCCCCAGGAGATTACCAGCTTCTTGAGTGCGGCACAGAGTGCCTGTTTTTGTCTTGGTGACTGCAGTACCCATCACAGGGCCTGGAATGTAGTAGGTACTTACAAAAATGTTTGTAAACAAGCATCCTTCCTGTGCCCAGCTGGGGTCAACCGCAGTGGTCTGTCTGCCTCTACCCTGGTAATGGAATTGCAGAAAGGTGAATTTAGCTATCATGCTCTACTCTGACAATATCAGACATTAAGAAAATTAGCCAACTTTCATGTTTACACAGTCTGCCGTAATCAAATTCCTCTCCAAACTCTACTCTAAAGAGAGATGAATCTTCCAAAAAGCCTGTGATGAGTAAGTGGTACCTCTCATAACAGGATTTAGGATCGTCGAAGGACCGGATCATAAAGATAACTCCGGAGCACTGTTCTTTACCAAAAAATTCATTTCTGCTGTAGCAATTTCCTTCTGTTCTACCCACTCTCAGGAGAAGATAGATCTTTCAAGACCATCACAGTAAATAAATAGGTGCAAACTGCGTGAGCCCTGGTTGGTACTGATTGAGTAATAAGGCTGATTAAGTTTCTTTCACTGCTTAGGGATCAGTGGATGGAGGACTGGTTCCTTTGGGCAAGGCTGCAGTGTGCTGATTCTCAGCTACAACTCGCAGTTTTAAAAAGGTATTTGGAAGTTGCTCGGTTGATTCACAGGTCACATTTCTCATGTGAAAACTAATGATGCTGCATCATTGTTTTCAAATTCATGAATTATCCTGATTTCCTCGTAGCTAATTACAGGAGCTGTGTTTGCATTCACGGATGTAGAGAGATTTGGACCCCTTTGGAAGGAAAGACGAGGATTGACCTGGCCCCCCAGCCTTCCTTCTGGGCATCGTGCTGCCGTGGGGGCAGCTTTTCCCACCTCCCACATCCCCTTCTTGCCAGTGAGGGAGTCTGTGCCTCTGATTCATGCTGGTCGGATCTGGGCCACTGTTTCTGGGAAGAGAAGAAGCAGGGAGAGAGAATTGCCTTGTCCTTTTGCATTGTTCTTTTTTATTTAACAAGGAGCACCCAGAAAAGAAGACGACTGTAAAAAAATAAGAAAGCTGTGGGGATTAAGAGATCATGATGCTGTTATTAGTTCTGAGGGGTCGTGGTAGGAAGGAGGAACAGTTGTAGGCTTGAGGTGCTTTGGAGGGGAGGCAGGAAGAGTCCTAGGGAAGTTTGGAGGTTAAGGTTGGGAAGTGCTGTGCCCAAATTTGCTTTGGGGCACCTTGTCATTAGGTACTGCCTACCCTCTCTGGGGCAGCTAGGTGGCAAATCGATAGAGCACTAGACATCTTCCTGAGTTCCAACCTGGCTTGACACTTGCTGGCTCTGTGACCCTGGGCAAGTCACTTAACCCCATTGCCTAGCAAAAGAAAAAAAAAAGAAGAAAACTCTAAATGGGATCACGAAGAGTAAAAACGACTGAACTACAACAAAAATCTCCTTCTCCTGGTAATATCAGGCACACAATGCATATTGGTGTATGCATTAGCACAACATAGAGGAGAAATCCTCAGTCATATCTTTTCAATATCCGAATCGCTAAACTGCAGTCCAAGGCAGACAGACTCACCTTGTTCTTGAATTTCACCCATGTTGATCAGATGAAATGATGTATTTTGTGAAGCCTGTGCAGATCTTAAGGTGTCAGATAAATGTGATCAGTTCTTTTTGTTATGTCTTTTCTGTTTCTGGGTTTGGTCTTCCTGATTCGATGATAAACCCCCAGACGCCAGGTCCCTTGTCCTCCCTGCTACTCATTCTCAGTGAGTAGTGTTTTGTGCATTGTAACCATTGACTAGTTTGGATTGATGGAGAAGGTGAAGGTGTGTGCTTAGCAGAAAGTGGGTTTGACTGGGTGAGGGGAGCCCTCTTGTCTCATCTTTCATGCCCTGGGGCTGGCTGGTGTCGTGCCCCCTCCCCCCCAATACTCATTTCAACAGTCCTTTCGTGCCAGATTAAAGAGCTGAAATATTATCATTTTAAAATGATTTTAATCCAATTTGTAATGTTGTATGGATCAGACACCCATTAAAAAAAACCCTCTGACAACAAGAAATTTTGAAAAGAAAGAGAGTGAGGCTGGTACTGGTTGAGCCTAATGTAATTATTTTTGCTCTGCTGTGCAGAGGCAGCCTGCCAGAAGATGGGGGTTCAAATTAATTAACCAACTGTTCGCAGCGATATGGTGATGTCGTTAGTGATAAGCGTGGAAGGAAATAAGGCGGTGCTACCTTGGCTGGTTTTCTTTAATGGGGGAGAAAAATTTGTTGGCCAAAATGAAATAGACAAAAGGCTTAGGAAGAGAAGCGTTAACTGGCTGGTTTCTGTTCGTTCGAAGAGAGTTGCTTTTCTGTGGTTTCAGATTGCTTACCAGCTGCCACTGAAAGAAGAAAAATGACCATTTTCATGACATAGTTTCTCAAGAAATGGCTGCAAATGTTTGGGCCTTCAGTTGGGTGCATTCCGATTATTTGTGATTTCCCTCAGCCCCCAGGTCACTTCCTATGTGACTATTTTCACACAGTAACCTAAGTTAGCTAGAACATATTAGACCAGCAGTTACTAATCCAGTGGAGGGCTGATGACTCATCACTACAGCATGACTGATCTGATGCCATAGTTTTTGCATGAGTACTCATCAGAAGGTAGAGGGTATTTAACCAAGTGGCATAAGGTCTGCCTGTGGTAATGTGGCTACCAAACCTCTGGGTGCTTTTAAAAAAGTGGGTGTCTCAAAAGTTTTAGTACGGCCTAAAGCCCTTGACTTCAAACGGCACCAAGACTTTGGGGACAACCCTCTATTTGAGTTTATTTCAGTGCTGGTAAAGCACATGCCGCGTCGGTGAGGTCCGCTCATTTGTGACTGGGTAAAGTGAGATTCTGGCCCATTCTTCATTATTGACAGGATTGAGCAGCATTGACGGGGGCTGTCTTGTAAAGATTCAAAAAAGCATTAAAAGAGGGGGAAAATAACATGAGACTTCCTTGGCAAATTATTTTCTATCTATTGTGCCGTATACTTTATGAAATTAAATTAATAAACGTGCCAACAGTCTTTTAAAAAACACCACCACCAACTTAAAGTTTGTTTGTCAGTGGCTGTGAACCACACCCAGCTGAAGTTAGGAAGAATTCTTTATCGCATTAAGGGAGATGGTGAGCAAATGAATCCCTTTTCATGCTTTGGGGGAGGGGGGACATTTCTAATTTTGTCCGTATGAGGAACTACTGCTGCCACTGGGGAAACGCCCCCCCCCACCTCGTGCAGATCTGCCGCTGTTGTGCATCCTAGTCAGAGAGAGTCCCCCGGGGTCACACGGCCAGGCTGGGTGAGAAGCAGGATTGAAATGGAGGACTCTGGCCTCCAGGCTGGCCCACTGTCTGTGTGGCTTCCCCTACGTACCTGCCCCTGAGAAGACAGCTGTGTAAGGAAGTGGAGAAAGGAAAGTACTCTAATTTTAGAAGCCATCTTAAAAGAAAGATTCTCTCGACCTTGTTGGTGGTCATTGTTATGACAGACAGAAATGAAAATGTTAAATTCAGATGTATGCAGTGGAATTTTTAGAGGCATATGAAAGATACCTTTATTTTTTATTTAAAGTTCTGTAAAATCTCCTTTAAAATAGTCTTTAATTTGCTTGAGTATAAGCTGTGAGGTTTTGGTTTTTAGGCATGTATATACACACACACACACACACACACATATATTTTTTTTTGGCTTAGGCAATGGGATTAAGTGACTTGCCCAGGGTCACACAGCTAGTAAGTGTTACGTGTCTGAGGATGGATTTTTAGGCATGTATTTTAACCATTCACCTTGGCATCAATCAATCAGTAAACATTAATTAAGTGCCTACTGTGTTCTAGGCACTATGCCAGGCAGAGTGATTTTGCATCTTGAAATGTGGTTTTGAATTGCTGCACATACGCTGCAGCTTGTAGAATGTAGAGAAAATCAGTTCGTATAGAGTAATTGATAACGCATTTATCTAAAATGGGGAAACAGGGAAGACATCCATCCGAGGACAGCAGCATGCTGTTCCAGACTGAGTCCTGGATTGGAAATCAGGAAAACTTGCTTGCAGTCTCAGCTCTGCCACTGACTGCCTATGTGACCTTGGATAAGTTGGGAAATTTAATGAGCCCCAGTTTCCTGATCTGTAGAATAAGATTTGGCCAAGTGATCTCTGATGTTCCCTGTAGGTGCCATCTGGCTGTGATTCGATCTTAATCTGAAGATTTATCTTTAGGTTTTTTTCAGCCCCAATATTCTCCAGGGCATCTGTGATCTCTTCGCTATAGGAATGCTCCATTGATGGGGCAGAGGGCCCAGCCCTTGTCCATGGCCTCCCTGACAGAGTGGTCTGTGGAGCCAGCCATCCTGGAGTCTCGTGATGTTCCAAGGATGTGAATGGAGCCACCCCTTGTCTCTGTCACTCTTCATTATTGTATCGTGACCATGCCAGCTTCGGTTCTGGGCATGCATCCTTCTAATGACCACCTTTCCATGGTCTCTCCATAGGAATTCCTTTTTTGTCATGGGTTACAGCCTGCTCATGCCCTCCATCAGCCTCTCTAGTGCCCTTCTTTGGAGGGTCATCAGTTCTTGGGAGACTGAGGTGTCCTGTGACTCAGAGACATAGAATAATCCCAAATGCTCAGATGTTTAAATAGATCAGTGATCTCAGTGATTCAGTAATCCTCTCTAGGAATGCTCCTTAGAACCCGTTCGAGCCTGCCCATCCCAAGTGACTTTTCCGTGGCCTCACAAAAGTTCCTCGCTGTGGGTCTCCCCATGGGCCAGACCATTTTTTTCCTTCTGGCATATGATTCTTTGATGACATCCTTTACTCCTATTATCCTCTGGAATTCCTCCCAGGTTACATGTTGCTGCCCGCTCACACCCAGCACATGTCTCTCCGTGGCCTGCTTTGCTCACTCGTAGTTCTTCCAAAGCAGCAAGTAGTGTTCTGTCTGGCAGCATGGCTGAAATGTTTGTATTGAAAAGGTGAGCCTTGGCCGTGATGAGAAGCCGGAGATCACCAACAATGCTTCTCTGGACTGTTCTTTTCTAGTCCAGGTCCAGCTCATTGTCTGTGTATTCTCTTTCTCATATATACATATATACATGCATGTATCCGTACCCATATATGTACATGTGTACCTCCACATGTGTATATTCACATATACATATGTGTGTGTGTGTGTGTGTGTGTGTGTGTGTGTGTGCGTGTATAGGCATACACGCACACACACGCACGCATGCACGGAAACCTGGGCAAGAGACATTCTTCACGCTTTTGGTCTTTCCCATGGGTGGAGAGGCCAGACTCCCCTGAAGGAGCACAAGTCTCTCGTGGGAGGCTGCGCCGCATCTTGCAGCTTGACTCAGTACAATGTCACCTGCAAACAGGAGCGTCCAGAGGGCCTCACCACCCCCGGAGATGAGAGTAGCTCACCAGCCTGGATTATTCTGCAGGATCTCCTCTGTCACAGGGCTGCATGCTGTTGGCAGCCAGACCTCTCCCTGTTGTGGGACTTGCCTGATGTTCATTCTTACAAGGGCATTGAACTGGGCTATTTTTCTTGTGACATCTTCCTAGGAGTCTTGATAGATCACGATGTCTGGATGGGAGACACTTTGCTGTAAAAGCCTGTGAGGCGGCGCTTTGTTTAACTGGGTCAGATGTTCCTTCTGCCTCTACGCGGCTGAATCCTAGGTTCTCGACATCTTTCAGTGAGTCGTGAGATGGTAAAGCTGTGGTCTGTTGGTGGATATCATTTGTGAAAGCCTGCTTTTCCCTCCTAATGCCCTCCTTGAGGATACCCTTAATTTAGCTACAGATGACTGCTGTGGAAACATTTTAATCATGGGAGAGAGTAGGGGCAGGTAGGTGGGGGAGTGGATAGAGCACCAGCCCTGGAGTCAGGAGGACCTGAGTTTAAATCTGGCCTTAGAAACTTAATAAATACTTCCTAGCTATGTGACTCTGGGCAAGTCACTTAACCTCAATTGCCTCACTAAAAAAAAAGGGGGGGGGAGAGAGTAGACAATTGCATCTGTTAGCTGTCAGCTTTTTTTTTTAAATGAATAAGGTCTGATATTTTTTTCTACATCCTTGTATTCACTATATAGAAAGTCAGGCCTGGAGACTAGAAGACCCAAGTTCAGATACAGTCTCTGATACTTACTGGCTATATGACCTCGGGCAAGTCACTTAACCTCTGTCTGCTACAGTTTCCTCATCTGTAAAATAGGGATAATAATACACCTACCTTCCAGGGTTGTTGTAAGGATCAAATGAGGTAATAATTGTAAAGTGCTTTGCCATGTAAATGTTGGTCAGGGTTATTATTTTTCCACGTCTTCCCATTCCTTTAGGTATCTTAGAAGTCTGACCCTCAGTGCATTTGCGATTCTATTGGCCCCAGTGCAGATCTCCTCTGTATATTCTTGATATAATCTGGCTGTTTTCCCCATATTTTTCTCATTAAAACCGTTTTTCCTTCTGTAAACACCTTAGCGACTGTGATATAAAGGTCCAAGTGTGATGATTCCCCAGTCTTTTTCTTTTGTTTTGTTTTGTTTTGGTTTTTGTTTTTAGGCGATTGGGGTTAAGTGACTCGCCCAGGGTCACACAGCTAGTAAGTGTCAAGTGTTTGGTCTGAGGCCAGATTTGAACTCGGGTTAGTGCTCTATCCACTGCGCCACCTAGCTGCCCCTATGATTCCCCAGTCTTGATGGAGAAATGTTTGTTATAATTTTTGCAGATCTTTTCTAGCTTTCTCATGAATATATTCTTCTTTCCACTGTGGTTATTTTGTCCTTCATTCTCAAAGAGGACAGTGACATCAGGCAGGAGAGGCCTTGACATGCGGGTGAATTGGATTTAAGTGAGGGAGGGCGGTGCAGAGTCACCAGCATCACTTTCTCTTCCCAGAGCCGTGTGGGCCCAGTGGCCAGATGTGGATCAGGATGGCTGGAGATGGCCCAGGGTGCAGTGGGGGCCTTTTCAAGCCAGGGTCACCGACCGCTTCCTTGGATATTCTTGGCATATCCCCAGCTGGATTCTCACCAGCTTTTTTGCTTTGTTGTTTGCGGCTTTTCTCTGCTTTATGAACTGATCATCATCATCCATTGTCCTTCATAAGGTTTTACAGATGGGTTTGTGTTTTAACATTGTGTGGCCGTCAGCACTCCGCTCAGTCTGGCAAGTCAAGTCAAATGTTGGCCGACACTTTCTGGACTCTTGGGGTCTCCTTGTTGTAGCAATTAATTTACATTGGTTTAATTTCTAGGTGGAATTATTTTAATTGGCGTCGATGTCATTCCTATTGTCTATCGAGAAAGACTAGGCCCTTGGTTTCAGGAAGAAGTTTGGGGTCCTCAAAAGCATGTTGTAGTTTCCCAAAGGCAATCTAGCCACCCTTTTTTTTTTCCCCTCTCAGTTCTGGGCCCTGCTCATTCATTTGACATTTTCAGTGTGTCCAAAGTCTAGAAACTGACAGACAGGCTCTATGAATTGACATGCCAGCTGTATATCGTAACCTGGAAAAACAAATGTTCTTCTACTTCTCCCCCAGCAGGAATAACTAAGATAAATTCCTGAGGGTGACACACTGCTCATCTAGGATTCTCTGCAGTCTTCTAGGACTTGAGCACCATTTTACACATGAAGAACTTGAAGCCTAGAACCCATAGTAATGTTGTGGCTGAGGTAGGATTTGAACCCAAGTCCTCTGACTTATCCTGGATATTGAAAGCTATTAACATGGTAGTCCACATTCACTGTTCAGTCCTGTGCTGGATGGTCTAGCCAAGTCTGCTCACCTTGGTTTTTGATGCTTACCAGGCTCGTGGTGGGCCTTTTGCAACATTTGTCAGAGAGCCCGAGTGTCTGATCAGGCGGTGCGGTGCTGGAAGCTGGCCAGAGATGCTTCCTCGATGATTTAGAAGCTGGAAACGCTGGCAGCAGAAGTTGCTGCGTCCTCCTCCAGAGCATCAATTAGCCACATATCAGTGACTGATTGGATTGTATAGGCCTGTGAATGGGGCGTGGGGGTGGAGGGAGAAGGGAGGAAAGAGAGGGAGAGAGGGAAGGAAATGGGAGAGGAGAGAGGAAAGGGGGTGAGGGGAGGGAGGGAGAGAAAGGAAGGAGGGAGGGAAGAAAGGGGAAGAAAGAAGGGAGGAGAGAGGGAGAGAGGAAAGGGGGTGGGGGAGAGAGAGGGAGGGAGAAAAAGAGAAAAGGGAAAGAAGAGTAAAGGGAGGGAGGGAGAGAGAAGGCACATTTGGCAGTCAGTTGTGCCTTGATTTTCCTTAAGGAAGCAGGGTGTGACATGGAAGGTAGCTAAGTCCAGTCAGGTCATAGGTCATGATGGCTTTTCCTCAGTCCCTTCCTCTTCCGTGGTATTCAGCTAGTCAACAGGAAACATCTTCCAGTGGAGCCCACCTGAAGTTAGCTTGTCCTTGGGAAGGTGGGCAGCATCCTTTACGTTTTCATGCCACCGGTATATTGAAAGCATGTTTTGGTCCTAATAGTGTCTTTGACCTTAGAACCAGAAGGGACATTGAAATGTTATCTAGTCCAGCCCTCGGGCCAAATGCAACATCCGGTCACCCTTGTTTTACACATGGGGCGGGGTAAGCCCAGAGAGATTGAATGACTTGCCCAAAGACACACAAATAACAGGGTCACAGGTGTAGTGCAAAAGGGGCTTTAGTGCCCACCCAGACTGGAGCCCCGAGCGGGTAAACCACTTGCCAAGCTTGAACAGCTGAGCAGAGCTGGAAACAGAATCCCTTGTAGTTGTTCAGGGCCCGTTGCCACACGAGGCCAGAGGGGAGGACCAGGGAAGGAAGGGGTCTGACATCTGTGAAGTGTCCAGATTTACAGGTGGGTTTGGGGACAGCCTTGTTCTTCAAGGGACTCTCTCTCTTTACTGAGCCAAGGTAATAGAATTCAGAGTGGCTTCATTTTAATGGCATCCCGGTGAGATCAGAGTGCCCCCTTGTTTGTGGAAGCCAAGTGTGGGCTTCATGGCTTATTCTAAACCCTCCTTGTACTCAGTTTCTTCATTTTAACCTTGAAAGGATAGGTGTGCATTTGACTCTGTTGTTAAAAGTAGCGGTGTTGAAGTTAGGAATGTGTATCACACCTTCTTGCTCTGTGTGTGTGTGTGTGTGTGTGTGTGTGTGTGTGTGTGTGTGTGTATGTGTGTAACAGTTGGGAAGGGATCTTTTTTTAAACTCTGTAGCTATAGGACTGTCTATAAATGCCTTTATGTATGCAGATATACCTAGATTTAAACAAATCTCATATCGGAAAACTGGAATTTACAGAAAAAGATGGACTGGGTGGTGATTTCATACTTTTTTTAATGGTCACCCTAAGTCGATTTAAGAAATTATTCTATTTAAAAATTGAACTTAGAGACAAATTGTCTGAAATACATTTTATGTATGAAACAAAATACATCTTATATCAATTTCCCCTTTTATTTACTTTATTTTTTGTAAATTGTATTTTATTTTTTTCTGATTACATGTAAAACTAGTTCTCAACATTCTTTGTTTTAGAAGATTTTGAGTTCCAGATTTTTTTCCCTTCCCCCTCCTGAAGATGGCAAGCAATCTGATATAGACTATACATGTACAATCATCTTACATTAATTTTTAAAAAATATTTCTTTCTACTTGAATGATATTGTGGCTATTTCTACATTTGGGCTAATGATACTCTAATCAAGAAAATTGTCCTTTCAGAATAGAAGTGTTATAATTTTTAAATTTAAATACATGATTAATTTAATTTGATATAATCTGTTGGCCCCCTTACCCCCACACCCAGCAAATTCCCTTTCCCTGGTGGGTTTGTGTGAAGTTCCTAGAATAATAGCTGTGGGGCTGAAAGGGGGCTTGTGGAGCCTGCCTAGCCCAAACTTCTCCTATCTCCAAATGGGGAACCTGGGCCTGAGGTGGGGGGGGACCTTGCCTAGACTCACACAGTTATTCTGAGACCTGGGATTTTTACCCCTGATCCAGTGTTTCCTTCTCTGGACCACACTCCTGACTTAGCATAAAGCTCTAAGCCACAGCATCAGTATTTAGATGGAAATCCATTAAATGCCTCTCCTTACTTTTGGGTGATGGTGTTGCTTCCAAAACCTCAGGATGTGTTTTCAAACTTGGACTTGGTGACTTCTTTGAGGGGAGCTGAAATGGGTCCCAGGGAACATCCTAGGGTGACAGTTCCCTTGGAGCACAGGAGAGCCTTCTCCCTGACAGTGTCCGAGGTGGAGGCATCCTTCCAAGCTGCCACCGCCATGAGTCACTGGGTGAGCACCCACTCACACTCCTACTTTGTGGTTTTGAATGGCCAGACTAATCCTGGGACCGATCACGTGCAGCATGCCAAATGATGGCACTCGCTGTGTTGGGATAGTGTTACAGGAAACCAGCCTGACAATTCAACATTCAGCTGCGGGGCAATCCAAGTCTTGGCTCAAACGTTCTATGACCAGGGCTGCTTTTGGTGAGGAGCCTTACCGAAGTGATGTCAGCCACTCAGGCAGATGCCTCATGGCCAGGGACCATTCGGTGTCTGGGCTCAGGAAGTGATCCTCAGCACTGTGCATGTCCCCTGGCTGTGCCCCTACAGACTCCCCGAGGCTGGGAGCAAGCAGACGCCTTTGAGCCGCATCCTTCCCCACAGCCTTCAGCCAGGGCTGAGAAGTCACTGGTGTGGCCACTGCCCCTCCCTGACTCCACAACCCCTCTTCCTCTTGGGAGACGGTATTGAAGAGTGTGGTGGCAGGATGATTCCTCCCCCTGCAGCCAGTCTGGTGAGGAGCCTCTGCAGACCGAGAGAGGCGGGCCTTTGGAGGACAAACATACAATTTGTGGCCAGGCCCACCCTCAAAGCTGGCGAGCTGGTGTCCTATTGGCACAGCCTTCGAGAATACAGGGTCACCTCCACCCCATGGTGAAGCCTGAGGGTAGGACCTCAGTGGAGACAGCCTGTCCTCAAATTGCAGAGATGTTAGAGAAAACCTAAACCCTGCTAATCTTTTGGCCTGGAGTTATCCGGTCCGTCAGTGCAGAAACGGAACCATGGCAGATTGGAAGACAAGACAGAGGAGAAAAGCTCGATTCAGAATTCAAAGAACAATCCAGTCCATGAAATTTGTTTTTCAGAAGTTTAAGATGAATTTTAAAGCAGTTTTATCTTTAAATTTTTTTGAGGTAGACAGTTTCCTTAAAAAGAATTCATTTTGAATTTTCGTTGAGTTCTTATGTTCAGAAACTCTTCATTTGCTTTTGAACTTAGCAAAAGTTCCCTGAGTTTTTCTTAGCTTGATTTTTTTAAAAGCCCAGAATCAAGTGGCTTTCCTATCCTTGGGTGGGTCCCAACTATTCATTTGTAACTGTACTGGTTTCAGAATGTCAGCCTTAAGAAATATGTAAAAACATCCATGAGGTCTCACACACAGATCCATCCCATTTCTTTCTGTTGCCACAACATTCCATACTATCTTTGACAGTTGCTAAGCTCTTTGGAATGTTACAGTACAGAAAATGCAGGCATGTATGTACACATGATATATGTATGGGTTAAGCCAGCTTAAATAAGAGACATTATTTTGTATATTCTAGGCTGCAAAAACGAAAGAAACTTTAGTTTTTCATAAATATAACACAAAATTTCATAGGAAGTTACATAAGATTTCTACATATACCAAATTTCATTTAACAAAGATGTGCATATAGGAAAAAAATTCATAAAAAGATACATCTGAATAGATACTAACATGTACGTGTGTGTGTGTGTGTGTGTAGGCGTTTATACATACACACACACTGTGTTCCTGAGAATTAACAAGGCTACAAAAGTGCTAATTGCGTGTAATTTTTTTTGGATTTCTGAAGAAAGAGTCACATAGAGATTCAGGTTGATTCTTATTAAATGGAGTTATTTTCTGTATTATTTCCTTTTGATGGTAGCCATTAGCTTATGTCACAAGACAAGGCAAATGCCCCGGAAAAAAGAACCTGAGATCTCCTTGGCACAAGCTACAATGTTTCCATGGCAGATTAAGTCCTGGGTCCTCAGGGTCACTTGAATCCTTGAAAACCCAACTTTATCAAATGGGGGGTGGCTGGGACGTCAGAACCACGCAGATCCGTGTGTGTTGCAGGATATTGATTCCAGGTCAGCGTTGCAGAAGCTGTGAACAGTAGCACACGGGCCTAAATGGCTGAGAAAGAGTCCAGGCCGTTCCCCTGCTGCTCCTTTGGCTGCTATTGATAAAACTCATTTGTCCCGGATTTTGTCTCTGATGCTCGTAGGTGCTTCAGACTGAGCTGGACAAGCCTCATGTCTTGCTGATTATTTTGAATAATGCTTCTGGGTTTCCTGCGTATTGCTTGGGAATGGAGCTTTATTAAAATGTTGAAGCCAGGGGCAGATTGATATATTATTTTAAGTCATTTATTTTAGTAATTAAAATTTAGCATTTTGACAGTAGGCCTAGGGAAAATGATTTATTAAATGTTGACCATTGTGTTCCTAACAGACTTTGAACTCTCCCGTGGTGTTGTGAAGGCATGCTTTGTTTTTGTCTTTATTTTTAATTAGAAGCCAGTAGTCAACTAGAAACGTGATCGTTATGGAATTTAGAGTTGGAAGGGATCTTAGATAGGATCTGGGCCAAACCCTTATTTTACAGAAACTGAGTTAAGTGGCTTGTATAAGGTCAGAGATAGTAAGTTTTAGAGTGAGGATTTTAATGCATGCCATCTCCCTTCATTGTGTGGCCCAATCACCTTGCTCCCTCATCTCTCTCTCTCGGTACCCCAGTTGGTTTCAGTGGCATCGTCATGTCTAACATGATGTGGGATCAGGATCGCAAAGAGCGATCTAGGGCCCTCCTCCTCCTCCCTCCTCTTCCCCCCAGAAAGAACCTTGCATGTTTCATAGTCCCCTAATTAGCATAAAATCATTGCATAGCCTTATTTGTATGGATGAAAGCTAAATTCAGGTGTTGTTCCAGTTATAAAGAGTTTGACTGGACAATTTTCTGATGGCACATGAGATTTCGTTGATCTTGCTTTGATTTATCTGCATATCGGGGTTTGAAGACTATTTAAATGATAATGTTTGAACTTAGTCTTAAGAAAACTCCAGTATGGAGAATGATTACTCCTTTGGACCTCAGAATAAAACCTGTTTGTCTGCATCCTGGATTAAGGGAAAGTTGCAAGTGAAATTTCACAGCTTGCCATTTTTCCTTTTATTTGTAATTTTAGTTTTCTGACATGTTTATATCATCAAAGCATGTTGAATATTCAGTTGTTGTGATTAGAGAACTTATACAGTGTCGTAGTTTTAAAATACTAAAATTGCCTCATAAAATACTAAAAATTTGTGGAAATGTTAATTTGGAGAGTTTGAGGATTCTTCTGTTGTGGTTAATAATATTAGACATTTAAACCAAGTGTGATGTTAATTTTACTTACAAGTATATTCTTGTAGTTTAGGGTTATATTTAAATAACTTCAGTTACTATTAATAAAAACAAATTGTAAGGCTTTATTTTGTTGAATAATCTGTGATATATGTGATATATTTTACATACATAATAATACTTGTTTTTTAATGCAGGAGTCTATTCGCTAATGACTTAATACAGTTTTTGGTTTTGTTTTTTTCAATTACAGGACTAAAATTTCCCCCAAAAAGTGTATCAGAGACAATTGTATATGTAAACACTTCAGGAAAGCCTGCAGATTTATTCATAAAATTTGCATGAGCTCTGACTCTTTCCTGAGGATTCCTTTAGGAAGAGCTCAGGTAGCAGATGGCAGGCGTATAATGCTCAGTTAAACAAATAAAACCATTCCATGATGGCGTCTCTCTAAGTTACGATGCATTTAATGTGGTCACACGATTTTAAACTAAAACAGTTCTTGAAGACTCTGAGAATCTCAGGAGCTACAAAGACTTCCTTGGTACTGGGCATCATTTGCATTACTAGATGTTAGTGATTTTTGTTACCTTTTAATTCATTTTAATTTACAGATACATGGATATAAGACTGGCTGTTGGGGTGTTTTGTTTTATTCATCCTTGTGCTTTTCCACAGAATCAGCTTTTAAACTGGGAAATAACCTTTATTCTGTCCTACCTAGTAATGAGGTAACCCCATCACAAATCCTGCCCTCCAGGAATAAATGAGCTTTGTTTCTTTGTTGCAGATATGCCAATATTTGGTCTCTGTCCAGCCCACGATGATTTCTATTTGGTGATATGTAACCACTGTAATCAGGTCGTTAAACCACAGGCATTTCAATCACATTATGGTAAGTGCTCAACTATTTGAAATCATCATTAAAGGGGGAAGGTAAAGCAGGATTAAGCCTAAAGATGACAGCAACATGGCGCGTCATAATGCGTTTCATTTTCACAAAGTAGGTTATGTTTGTGATTCACAAGTATCGGTCAGTGCCTATTGTGCTGTAGGCGCTTTGATAGACACAGCCAAACAGTTATTTGATGAGGTTTGGATTTTGGTTAATTGGAGATTTCTTCTGCACAGTCTTGCTGTTGTACCTCGTGGAGTGGAGGGATGCCTGGGTTCTTGAAGACCAGGCCGGTGGAGGCCCAGCATCGCCCTGCTGCAAAGGCTTCAGGGCCAGTCCTAGGCCAGACTGTGACTGCTTTTTGATGACCGGTCTGGCTGAGTCCAGAGTGGCTCATCCCCAGCATACCGTCCACGTGGTGATGAATTCTTTGGCCGTGGCAACCCATGAAACAAAGCAAAGTACAGAATGGCCTTCAGCCCTGCATGTCCCCTTTTCATTTCTGTGGGGACAGGGTCTTGAGTGGTAGAAAGGGAGTTGGAGGGGACTGAGAATTACTGTTTCTAGACTGTCTATATGTAGTCCTGTGCCTACCTTTACGCGCTCTAAATGGGGGCTCATTCATTTGGTGACCCACAAGTGGACATGTTGCCTGGGGGAGTGGATCCTATCAGTCTTGACACTCATTATGATTGAAACCAGAAGACAAAAGAACGTTGTTGATACATTGAACGATGGTTTACAGGCAAGGCGAATAAATGAACCGGCAGAGTTGTTTTCATGTGCATCCGAAAGCAAAAGGGGATGCCCTTGCCTGGGACCTTTAACCACCTTGGATTGCAGTGCTTCTAGTGAATATTTGCAAAAAGGCCACTGAAAAAAATCATAAATATAGCTTTGCACCTAGGTCTGTTGTAAAGTGTGAAGAGGTAGAGAAATTCTACTGAAAAAATTAGTAAGACCCTCCATGTGAAATCAGCCCATGCTTCAATATGTGATGATGTATCAAAGGGCCCAGGAAAGGCTTGCACATGCATACACACGTACATACACACATACATGCTTACTGGAAAACACGGTTCCAGGAGGCATGAATGAGAAAGGCCGAAGATGTGAGCCTGCTATGTCTTCTACAAATCTATTCACTATAAATAATTTCTCCGAGAAAAGAATCAGAAGGTTCTTGACATGGAGTTCATTGTGGTCCTGTGTCTGCTGGCACAATGTCAGAAGGCCCCAATTCATATCCTTCCTTTGGTGTTCACTGCCTGTATGAATTCGAATACGTCTGCTCACCTCCCTGGGCCTCAGTTTCCCTAGCTATAACAGAGAAGGGATTGGATGGATGGCCTCTGAGGGCCCTTTCATCTTGAGATCTGTGATCCTATGACCTTAACATCACAAAAAGTGAAGCTGGTTCTATTTTAAAGGAAAGGAGAGGACTCCTCACCAACTGCAGAGTCAGCTGTCCCTCAGCCAGCTGCCTGCCTCTGGTCAGTCCTCCGATGCATTAGAACAAAGATCAAAGTTGGCAGAATAGTAAAATGAAACTATGGTGCTTACCTATACATCAAAACAGTTCCATCCTGAAGAGGTGTTGGTGCCCAAACAGAGAAACTGATGAAGGATAGGATACTGACACAGATTGTATCACTTTTACATGGAAGCTTAAACGATACGGGTAAATTCTATATTGAGGAGACTAAAATAACCTAAAAAGTGCCTCAGGAGATGCTTGACTGACTTGCCATGTGGAGAAAGATGGCGGCCAACAGCAGTGCCAGTTCAGAATGTAAACTCGGCTGTAACTCTCGTGGCTAAGAGAGAACAGCATTGCCTTATAAAATGACAAGAAGGGAAGAACCAAAGAAAACTCCGTGAGTGTCACCACCAAACACAGTCATCCTGAGGGGCCTTAAGGTTGAAGCTGGAAGGTGAACAAGAGCCAGCAAAGGTGGGAAGAAGGATCTGTAAGGGTTTCAGTCAGCAAGCCCATTGTTCTGCGAAGGAGGGTGACATCACCGTGTTGGAAGCTGAACTTCACAGACCCAGATGTGCTTAGAAAAGAAATGGAAATTGCACTGAAGAAAAGAAAGGTGGGAAAAGCAAAACAGCCGGTGGGGGCCATCCTGTGTTGGAGGCAGCCCAGTTGTGAGGGCTTTAAGGGATCAACTCTCAAGATACCTGACTCAGGGGAAGACTGTAAAGTCATGAGAAAGATTCAGAGGCAGACAAGCAGGTCGGCTCACCTTCGAATGACCCATGAGTTTCACCGTGATTCAGAAGCCCAGGACTTATTTTAATACCTCTGTTCTTTGGGTGATGATGCATGGCAGTGAGTCACGAGTCCTAGCCCACAAAGAACTGGAGTGGATGATCAGGGCAGTAGAGAGGTTGGAGGTGGTGGCATGAGCGAGCAGGCTGCAATATATCACAAACTAGAGAAGCCCATTGAGGAGATCACCCTTTCTTGATGTGAGTGACTCCATCTTAGAATCGGCTTCCAATTGCATACAAAATGTCACATCCACTTCTCAGAATTTGGGTTGATCCCTTCCCCACACCCAAGAAAAACAGTTTGTCTTGTTCCATTTGTGAGGCTCACTAGAGACAAAAAGAAGTGTTTTTGGTTTTTCTCCCCTTGGGACTATTACGAAGGCTAATGGATTGTAGCCTGCAGGGATCCATTTCTATTTGAACTTACCATCGCTGATATAGAGCAGAGAGACTACTATTCAGGCCTTGGTCAAGAGACTGTCCCAGAACAGAGGAAGCATTCCTCCAGGGCATGATGAGATCCGTTTCTGGAAGTGTAGCCTTTTTGCACACTGAGTAACAGATATAAAATTGCAGGTAGACCACCCGGGAAATCAAACTAGTCATTTGCTTGAAAGGCCTCGACTGTAAAAGCACATTCCAATATCCTAAGTGAAATCTAGAAGTTGCTTGAGCCTGTGCTCCTGTGGCTTATGTCCTGATTCATTTGCTGTTCCTGTGGCCCTAGGCACACAGGTGGTGCGCTTCCACTCATTCCGTTAATACTCTCCAAATGTTTTTCAAGAAAGGGCCCCAGTACATTGAATATGCACCCAATGTCTTCCTTATGGAAGGACATGGTCAGTAACACAAGATAAGCAAGTATGGCCAGGTTGGGATCCCTATTGTGGGAGAGGATTCCAATGTTGATGCAATTACAGGTTCGTTGGATAGTCAGGACAGCCAATTCAAGAAGGAAAATTTCCTTCTGCTTACCAAATTGTGCAAAATATATTTAAAAATTGTGGGAACCCTGATGGTCAGAATCTAGTTGTTTTTATTGTTCAAAAAAAATTCATATTTTGGATCATTTTATGTGGAGATACATAATTTTTCTACATAGGATTTAGTTTATTTTAAAAACTATTTATAGATTTTTAGATTTTTTTTTTTTAGGAATGTATTTCTGTTCTTTAAGATGAATTACAATTGGGGCAGCTAGGTGGTGCAGTGGATAGAGCACTGGCCTTGGATTCAGGAGGACCTGAGTTCAAATCCGGCCTCAGACACATAATACTTACTAGCTGTAGGACCCTGGGCAAGTCACTTAACTCCATTGCCTAGCCAAAAAAAAAAAAAGATGAATTATACTTGTATAATAGTCCCTACTGAACACTTGCTTTGGGAAACCCATCTGATGCTCACCCAGCAAATTCCTTGATCTCCACGTTATTGGAAGGTCAAGTAAGGAGAGAAGATGTATGCAGAATGGTATAATCTAGAACGTCCTCGATAAGTGTCCTAAAAGGGATGCAGACCCAGAACTTGAGGATTCAAAACGGAGAGTGATTGATCCCTGCTGATGAGGGAAGCCAGGAGAGGCTCACCGTGTCCAAAGCAAAGCTTGTCGCCTTTCTTCCAAAGCCGCCCCTTTTCCTGTCTGCCAGGCTCCCAGCCTGGTTGTTGCTCAGTTGTGTCCAACTCTTCATGACCCCCTTTGGGGTTTTCTTGGCAAAGATCCTGGAGTGGTCTGTCACTTCTTTCTCTAGTTCATTTTACAGTTGAGGAAACTGAGGCAAATGGGATAAAGTGACTTGTTGGGGGTCACACAGCTAGTTAAGTGTCTAAGGCCAGATTTGAACTCAGGGAGAGGAGTCTTGTGGTCTCCAGGCCTGGCGCTCTGGGCTCTATGGTGCCACCTAGCTGCCCTCACAACCTGGGAGTCTTTCATGTGGCAGTTTATAATTTGCAGTTCTAAGTACTAACTGTACTAACTGAACTTGATGGTGAAAAGAGTTCCCGATTCGGAGTCCAGAACTTTGCCTCTGACCCAAGCTCTTCATATGGACGTGGCCACATCATTTTGAATTATTCTGGGCCTTAGTTTGCTGACCTATAAAATGGAGACAGTTGTGCTCTTATTGGCTGTCTCACTGGAGTATTAGGAGGGAAGTCTTTTTGTTGTTTTTTTTTTTGTTTATGTTTTTGTTTTTAGGCAATTGGGGTTAAGTGACTTGCCCAGGGTCACACAGCTAGTAAGCGTCAAGTGTTTCATCTGAACTTGAAGCTTTGAACTCAGGTCCTCCTGACTTCAGGGCCGGTACTTTATCCACTGTGCCATCTAGGTACCCCCGGAAAGTCTTTTTGTAAATTCTAAAATGCTGCATGTGAATTATTTTTCTGATCCAAGGAATGGCAAAGGAAGTTTACTCTGACAGGGGTGCAGGTTTCATAGTTCAGAATAGTAAAGACCGGTGGGATCTAGTTGTGGGGTAGACGAATCTGGTTTTTGATCTGTTGAACGTATCGTGTGGGGTGGATGGCCAAATGAGAGCCAGTGTGGGCGTTTCCAAGGCTGCAGACATTTCTCCAGGGACGGCTTCCCAGTGGTGGTGGACTGGATCCGTGGAGAAAGAGAGCATGCAGAGAAAGCAAAGGAAGCTGAGGCCAGAGCCCTGGGGAGCACACCCCCAGAGGTAGGTGGCTGGAGGAGGAACGGGAGCCTGTCGAGGAGACAGAGAAGG